ACACACATATATATATATATATATATATATATATATATATATATATATATATATATATATATATATATATATATATATATATATATATATATATATATATATATATATATTGTTGTTGCCTTTTATATGAATCGAGTCTTGCCTGTTATCGTTGGTGACCCATGTCGTATGTCCCATATAGAAGCGGCACAACACTACTTCCATCTATATGCACGCTGATGGGAACAAATGTAGGCCACACGTCCGCATGAATTTGGAATTCAGTTGACGAAAAAATTCTTACCATGCAGCACAGCTTTGTTCGCGAGTATGGCGGATTGAATTTAAGGAATACATTTACTCCCCATTCCAAGGAGGCTCAGCCTAGAAAACTTCTCGAAGTCATTAAAATATGAAGGCAATGATCTCATCGAGCTCTATGATACAAGGGGAAAATTGTTCTCTTATCGCTCTGACGATAACGTCAGTTTTTATCGTAACTCCTCTATTATCAACTGCTACACCCATCACGGTGCCATTCGCGCGTTTGGTCTAATATACCCCGACGAATTGTACTGAAATTTTGATCTCCCCTAGAGGACTACCAGCGCCCGCTGCAATGAATAAGTTATTTAAGAGTATTTGTCAGTAATTACCTTATAACGAGAGCAGCACCACAGTGACAGTTCCGACTTAATATATCCAATTTTCGGCCAAGCTTACTTCCCGCAGAACTTATAATCGTAATTAATGCCGAAGCTTTAAAACCAATAAAACGCAGATAAATTAATAGCTAGATCGTGAAGGAAAACTCTAGCAGCAGTAGCGGGATAGCAGCAAGCAACCAAATTGTAGTATGAAATTCAATTAATTGGCAAATTATTGATATGCTCGAGACTTGTTTTGCGTTAAAGGACATGCATACGTTTGCTGGTGGACTTCTTCGATAACGGGAACCATCCGTCGATTTTCTTTCCCTCCAACAAGTCTTTCAGAACAATTCTCACAAAACCAAGCGTGTCTGAGCCTACGAGATCCCTGTCTTTGATTTTGAACAAGATATCTTCGACCTCTGTTTCATTCAGCTACACAGAAAATGAATTTCCGAGAGAAGTTATGTTGGTACAAAGAGATCAGCTATCCGAGAGTAAATATCGGAACAATAGGCCATGATCTTTTGCCCAACGGAAAGGGCAATGATATTCATCCGCTGTACAGTATACAGTATTGTACTCAGGAGAACTTTCGCTGTGCAGAAACCGAAGTAATGTCCGAAACACTGCTGCTATTCTGAATTGTAGTATTATGAGACTCAACTTCACTCAAATTCACCCCTGAGTGTTGTTCTAGAACATCTGCAGTGTATATTGAATGCTAGTGTAGACAATGAGGGAGAAAAATTGATAGGAAACCTATATGCTATATGCTATATTTGAATCTATGTATGCATCCTGGAATATATTCAGCTCGTAACTCATACGAGTCCATCAATCGGTCACGGTTGGGTATATCGACTCGAGAGATTCTGACGAACATCTTGAATTCTGCAGAAGCGTATGTATTTGATATTGTTGTCAACTAGATTCTTCATTCGATGAAACGCACTTACGATAACTCACCGGAAATTTGATAGGCTCCTCATCCCAGACTGGATCGAGGGTGTTTTCTATTGTTTTTGTTTTAGTTATCTTGTGCTTGCCCATGGTAACCGTGACATATGGATCGGATTTGCCATTTACGTCAGCGCCTTTAGGATTCGAATATAAGGCATGAGCTTAAGCTTGGAGCAACCACATGATACGACAAACTACTTTGCAGGACTCATGGCGAACAAAGACGTAGATTAAATGCCCGTATGACAATGAATTTCAACATGCCATAACACTGCCGGACAGTCCCAGTAAACAATGGAACGAAAGCAATGATAGTCTCTTGTGATATTGTAAAACATCGGACACATGTTGCCGAAAATTGGAAGTGAAAACAGTGCTGCAAGTATATAAAACGTAAGGGGTAACGGTTTGTGATATTCAATCAACCTTCCGCTCAACAATTTAGTGACTGAGCCATCAATCAGCATATATATAGTACTCCTATATGATAATGCATCAATACGAACACAATCATAATCATAATCGG